CAGTCTATCGGGAGGCCTGTCCCACCCGCAGTTCTGCTTGCTCATTTCCCGACCTTCTCTGGGAATGGTTCTTGGCCCAGCTGGCCTGCCCTTGCTCTTCTCCCATCTGGCTTGTGCCTGCTCTCCCTCCCCCTAGCCTTTTCTTTCTTCTTTGCGTTGCACTGCTTTGCTACCCCCTATCCCTCGTTGTGAAAGCAGTTCAGCCACACTGTAGCTGGGTGGGTCTTTTTGCATCACTCATCCTCATCTGTATGGCAGAGCTCCCTGCAGTTGAGCAATCTCTTCTCCCTCCCTTCCACTTTCTGTACCACTCAGCCATGCTCTCAGAGCCCTACTCTCCACATTTCCCCACCATTACTGGGAGCACTTGACCTGGGGAAATTCCCTTGGCCTATCCGCTCTTTTGAAGAAGTATATTGTCTAAATACACAAAGAAGACTGTTTTCTTAAAGGGTCAGTCATCAATTTTGCATCTATTTTTTTTCTTAGAAACTACTTCAGTTTCAAATGGAGTGAAACCTTTATTAAGTGGCTGCTCAGGGGACCAGCAAAATGAGGTCTCTTAAGAAGGTGGCCTTTAACAAAGGTGGATCTGCAGCTTACTAGAAAGCCAAGTGGACTGTTATTTGATTCCAAAATTTATAAAACACTAAAAATATAAATATTTAAATCATTTTATTTTTATAAAATACTAGAAATACATATACTTAATAATAGATGTTTAATGTATAAACAACCATTTGTAGCTGAGACATTAATTTGTCTGTGGGTTATCATGAACATAAAGGAAGTAAAACTGTTACATAATTATTTTTAATGTCTCATGAATGAGTATTAAAATTTAAAGCAATACACAGCACTATGCAAAGTGCAGTTTCCCATTGTGTGTATACAATGTGCCTTATGAGCACTCAAGTGCAAAGTGAGTAAGCTGATAACTTAAGCAAGATTTCTTTTGTATTTGAGAGCAATTCTGGGTGGTCTCTGGTTATGTTGGAGAAGTGGTTGCTTAATATATTTACATTATAAAGTTCTTGTGGATAACCTGTTTCTTAGGGCTGCTGGTTACCAAAAATAGGGTTCTTTAACACAGACTTCATTGCATTTTTTTTTTAATATGCCCCAGGGTCCCAACTGCTCTGTGGGTCCTTCCCCCAGCTGACACCAGCTCATGCAGTAGCCTCCTAATATTGGAGAGACTGCCATTATTCTGTCAAGCTTTATAGATAAATTGCACAGAGATTCCTGCCTGCAGCTGTGACACCCATCCTTCATCCCCAGGAAAAGGGTAGAGGAGCTGATACCAGAAGCACATCACCGCCTCACATCCAGCAGTGGATTAAGTGGTGGTGTGGGGTTTCTGTAGTCCCAAAGTGAGCTGCTAGCAGGAACCACAGTGATGCCATAGCTGTGGTTACCTGCTACCACATCATCATCCTGGAGATCAGGGAGGATTTGAACATTTTGTGCCTCCATTGTTGAATAAACTTAAGGGGTCTCATTCTGGCTTTGTATGTATCTGCTGATATCCATATGTGTTGGGAAGCCTCTGGGGGCCAGTTTCATTGCATACTTCATTATGTCCTGGTGTGCCCGGTGGTTGCTAGGGTAGTGGATTGCACGGAGGATTGCTCTAGACACTGCTTTCGCTATCCCTTACATGGGTGAATATAAGTTATAAAACAGTTGTGGGACAAAACTGCATGGCTTTTTTTGTTTTTGAACCAACAATTAGACTGAAGTTTGCATCACTAAATTTTGAGAGCCCAGCTGCTGTAGGGCTTTTCCTCCTTTGTTTAGGACACCACATCAGTTTCTGGTTAGGTACAGCCTAGGCGTTGATAGTAGCATTGCTCGCTTTCAGTCACTGTCAATAGAAGAGGTTTCAGCAGCTGCTCTGAAGGTACAGTCAGAGCCTGTGGTGATTGGATTGGAAATGTTTGGGTGGGTTAGGGCTAGTTGACTAATCCATGCCACCAAGAACATGGGGGTCATAACATACAACCTTCCTGTGCATCCTTCCTTTGGAGCTACTGAAGAGTTCCCAAACTTTTGGTGCAATATGCCTGTCCCCGTGAAGTAGTTCATTGCTGAAATTGAGGAATGGGGTTTTGATTATTCCACCAAGACTTCTTACTTGGCTACCATATCTTTCTGTGCTCAAGTAGCTAATGACCCTGATGTGTGTCAGATGCTCATGAGACAGAAAATGGAGGGCTGTACTAGGTTTTGGGACTCCTGAAAGGATGGATATCGTTCCAGTAATATTCCACTGTTAGGACATGTGGCGGCAGCTTTCCTCTGGTTGACTAACTTGGGCCGGGGGGGAAGGGGAGAAGAGGAGATTCTCCTATGTCAAATGGCTTCTCTACAGCAATTTTTGGTGTGCTGTGGATTAGTGAGCGGATTGCTAGGGTTCCTGGTAGGCCTCATTCTGGCACTCACCTTGGAGATGACGCCTCCTCTATGCCTTCACATTTTGATTGGTAGCTCTTTTATATAAGGCAAAACAATATGGTAAGGAGTTATTAATTAATCTTAGAGAGATGCCCCGTCAATTGGTCTAACTCAGGGTGGCCATGTCAGCGTATCTCCCTGGGCAATCTGCAGACAGCTCTCTCTCTTTTCTGCCTAGTGATATCACACCTTTATTAATTCAATGCCATCATCTGGAAGACATTTGTGAGTTGAGATCTGGGAGTCCTTAGATCTCATTTATTCGGAACAAGTCTCCACTGTATCTGCTGCCATGTCTGGGGTCTTTGATCTTGAGGTTCAGACACCAGGTGGATAACATTCTGCCTGTTTTCAAGATTATATTTGTCCAGACACAGCCGTCACTACTCCCGGCTGGCTTTGCTAGTGGTGTTTTCCTTGTGTAAATTGCAGGAATACAGAGGCCTTGGTATTAGGTGGGTCTTTAAGCTCTGGAAAGCTGGAATGCTCTCTGTATTTGAGTACTAAGTTGAGGGGAAGTGCATGACTATTCTGGAGGGCTATTGCTTCCATCTACCTTTTGCTGATACCAGAACATGTTACCTTAAGGTGTCATCTGGAGTTACACTTCAACAAAAGTGCAGCTAGCTATTCGCCTGAATTTACATAAATTGCTGAATTGTTTCCTTATTGTTTCCTGTACTCAGTAATAGACAGTTTAGGGATGAGACATGGTTTTGTTGTACTGACACATGTTTGCAGCAAATGTGATCTGGCTCCTTTTGCGTGCCGGGGGGTGGGAGGTGAATCCTAATAAGTAATTATTGCCAAGTATAAGCGCCAAAATGTTCAAAAAACATCTCCTTTTTTTTTAAGGTATCGAAAATATTAATATAGACAAATGCTTTAATATCCCCAACCCAGTAAGGCTGTTGTTAGCTGAACAGTGCAGATAAAAGCATCCAAATGGTAAATTCCCTGATACAATTTTAAAATGGCCAAATCTAGGGTAGAGATTTGTTTGCTATTTTTTTTTTAAACTTTGCTTTCAGTCTAAACCTTTGTATACCACCTTCTCCCCCCAAGTCATGTTCTAAACACCTCATAATCAGTTTCATATGGAAATACTGTCAAAGCTTAACTACCAAGCATTAGCAAATGGCACTACATTTTTTTCCAAACACACAAGGCCTAATCCAGTAAAATGTGGCGTGTTTCTGATGAATTACCTTACATTTAAGGCATTTGGCAGCTTGCAGCACTGAGCTCTTTACGTTGATATAAAAAATTATATACAAAGTGTTGATCCATGAATCTGTATCTTAGGAAAGACCACCTTCATATGGAAACATTTTAAATACAAAGCACACATGGTGCCATTAATCAAATGTTACTGGAAAAATGTCTTTAAGAAGGGCTTTATTCTTTTGTATGCATTCCTCTGATAACAGTTAGTGCAAGAGAATGTGAAGAATGAAATATTGGACTGTTCAGCACCTTGGTTTTGGACAGCGACATTCTGAATGATTGAGGACTAATTTAATCTAACATGCATGAAATAAATCAGATTATATGTATTTTTATATATATTATGGTGTGTCCAGATGCCATAATCAGAATCTATTACAGGCCAAGCCTGAGATCCTAGTTTCACACCTGAGTTTGCATTTGAAAAATGTGTTATCTATATTAAAAAGATTAATTAACATTAATAGCCAGAAGAAACTCTTAAGTTTAAATGGGAGTACTAGCCAAAGTTAAACAGAATATGGATAAATGATACGATATTAAATATTACATACTGAGCAATATACTGATTTTATTAATGTAACAAAATAAAAATGAGCATCCAGTGTTTTAATATCCATAAATTGAAGCACATGGAAAGAAAGGGTATTTTATATTTTTATAAATAGATTTCATGCTTTAAAAATGGAATGATCCCCTGTTCAGTATATTACTGTGGTTTAGCATAAGATACTTTAAGGGTCATGCAGCTCACTGCATACCGAGGAATCCTTACATGGACATTGTACACTGTGCACACATTATGAAAAAGTCAGAGCTCTTTACCTTCCCTGTCTTCTCTGGTGGACTTTTCCATTGCAACAAGTTTTTATTTTACTTATATAACATTCCATTACAACAGGTTATTTATTATAAAACCTATGGTAATGGAAAAGTCCACTGGAGAAGAGAGGGAAGGTAAAGAGCTCTAACTTTCTCATAATATGCACACAGTGTACAATGGCCATGTAGGGGATCCCTCAGTATGCAGTGATTTTAGCAAAATATGTTATGCTGAACCACAGTAATATACTGAACAGGGGATTATTCCATTTTAAAATGTTATATGTATACTTTTTAACGTATACCTTCAGTTTACTTTGAAAACAGGAATTGATGGAAAAAAGGAATAGAATGCAGTCATTCAGAATTACATACAGTAGTTCAATTTAGAGTTCTGTATTTTCTTTTGACTTAATTTAATTTTTTTCCTTTTCTAAATAGTGATCATGATTGTGGTTTGTCTTTTTTCCCTTTTGTTTTACTATTGTCTCTAGGGGTTGATACAAAGTTGAAGTTTACTCTCGAACCATCTTTAGGTCAAAATGGTTTTCAGCAGGTAACTTCATTTATTTTCACTTGTTTTTAAAAGACTGAAATTTCCTTTTCACTGTACTTGTGTTACTTACATAACAAAGCAATGCACATTTCATCTTAATGTGGGTATATTAGTTGCCACTACATAAAGATTTGTTCCAACTAACATTTTGGAAATTGTAATGCAATTTCTTTGTTTCCCCTGACATCTCAGAATTCTCATAATGTCACAGTCTTATATTTTTTGTTATATACATAAATTATTAGTCTTATAAGATATATTTTGCTTTTAATTAGGGTTTATTTATTAACTCTAGGCACTGGTCCATTTTATAGCTAAGCATGTAATTTCTTAAACATGGGAAATAAAATGAATGTTTCTTACCTGCAGTATTGCACATATTCACATATTTCTGAATTAAACTAATTCCATATGTTTTCTGTGCTGGATGTTTTTGCTTTTAGTGGTATGATGCTCTCAAAGCAGTGGCCAGACTGCCAACAGGAATACCAAAGGAGTGGAGGAGGAAGGTAGGTAGATCTGTACACTTCACAAGATAATTGCAGTCACATGTGGTTTAGAGATGGTATGAATTTGAGAGTCTTAAGCTTTGTATGCACTGGGGATTTTTGCTGGTTCAAAAATATCAAGGACCAGCCGCTTGTGGAGCTGCACTGTTGCACAGACAGGCAAAGCTGCTGTTTACACTAGTGGTGTTGCTCATTCTTGAAATTCAGGTAAGCTGTACTAGCGCAGATTTTGGCTTTTACCACTTTACTCCGTCTACACCAAGAGTTTGCGCTGATGAATCTTTCCCAATAGCTGAACATTAATGCCCGAAATCAGGGCAAACCTCCAGGGAAGACAAGCCTTTACATTTATGAAGTTGAAGTTGATAACTGCTGTCACCAAGGCATAGTGCTGACAAGAATTCCCACATAAACATTTGGTCAGGGAAAGGCAGAGTGCTGGAATAATAGGGGAGCTGAGGGTAAGGAATGATGTGCATTAGAGACTGCTATTAATGTGAAACAGCACTGGGTTAGTGCTGTAGAAATGTACTCACTGGGAGTTACATTGAGATCACTAAATCCACCTTAATGCTTCCTTAAATAAGATTTGAAGCCATATCCCCAACATTTAAAACCTTGTGCAACAGACTTTTGTACGGACTAAATGTGGGACATATTCTGGCCTCAGTTTCATCCAAGCAACCCTACAGAAGGATTAAGATATACGTAATATATATACATGGTTTAATATAACGTTGTGTGTTGGGATCTTTCTCCTTTTCCTTTCTTACTCCCTGTTGGAATTATTATTATTTATGCAGGGTATTACCATGACACTAATTTAACCATAAATTCCTTTATTAAATCCAAAGGGCAAACAATTACTCTAAACATGCCTACAAAGCCTAAATAATAGCAATTTACTCCAGCCAAACAGTAACAAAATATTTATAGGCATATGATCAAGATTCCTTACAAATGGGCTAAGGATGCTTAGACCCATATTGGTCGACTCCCAACATGGTCAGGCAGGTGTTAGCAATGAACCCTTAAGAGTTTACTTTTTTATACCCTTTAACAAACAAGTGATGTCACTGCAAATTATCGCACCTTAGCTAAGGCCGTATGAAGTAGTTTCTCATACAGCCAATTATTTACTGCACATGTTATTTACTGTTGTTTACAGTTATTTACTGCACATGCCCAGTTAACTGTGTTTTATTTCTATTATTTCAACCCAAACCTTAAGTAAGATAAGACGGGTATTTCACAGGGTCACTACAGGTTTAACACAACAACTCTTCTTTCTCATGATCTCATTCTTTTTGGTCACAGGCTTTGGGCCTATTGCTCCTGCTAATATCCTAACTCGGTTTAAAACCATAGTTCACCTAGGTCTCACTTGAGCCTATAGTCCCGCACTCCCTGTCCCTCCAACCCAAACCATTTCCTCTTTCAGATTAAGAGAGAATAAAATAAACAATCATAGGGGTATCATTCCCCCCTAATTCATTTAATAAGTAATCCATTTGCATCACATTGGAGTCTTTCAGCTGCCATTTTCTTCCCTATTATGAAGTCTTTCTCCCTGCTCCCCTCTAATAACCTGTCTGTTGTTGCTCCGTCACTTGTTCTGTGAAGCTTTGCAAAGAGTGACGCAATGTACAGACTCTTTTTCCTCCCCCTCATCAAGACCATATCTGTGCTGTTGCTCATGCACTCATTGTTTAGCTAGCCAGAGGAGCAAGTGGAATGAAACTGGCATTGCCTCCCCCACACCCTTTCACATTTCTGCTGAACTAGGAAGAAGCATTCTATATGGCTGCAGCCCAGTGAGAGATCCTCCTCAGCTGGTAGGGGTGGGTAGGGGCAGGGCAAAGGTTAAACTTCCTCCAGCACAGGTGGAGGACAGTATCCATGCTGCTCCTTTTGTACAGGACACTTTTCCTCTTGACCCAGCAGAAATGGAGTATGAAACCAGCAAGCATTACTGGAGTTTCATTTTACTGCTCTCCCTACCAGCAAATGCTGTGTGGCGGTGCAGCAGCAGCACAAGTCGTTCCTCTGCACAAGAGACCTGTACTGTGTGGGAAAGGGGAAATGTAGGAAATCTATGATTCTGCAAGCTGTAGGTGACTATTTAACTGTTTATTACTGTGGGAAGTGTGGGAAGGGCTTTTCTCATTTAGAATATGTAGATCAACTCCCCTTCCCTTTCACCATTTCTTCCACCCTCCTGCAAAGCAATCCTTTGTCATTATTAACCATTGTTATGTTGTGGCCTACCACCCTGCCTTGAATTAGGTAAAATTATATACCAATGCTCTTTACTAAATTGTTATCTGTTAGACTTTTTGTCGATTATTAATAGGCTATTTGGAGTGGGAGTTCAAAACTTACTTAGCAAATAGGTTCTGAATCTGCATTGTACCTGTGTGCTCTTCTGATATGTGCCACCATTTTAAGCACTGATTTTATTTTCCTAGTGTGGATGTAGAAATCTCCCATTAAAGATGGGCTCATCCAGTTATCATTTAGAGATAATGACATTTGCCATGATATCCCTATCTCTAAGGTTTCTTGTATCTTTGTTTAAAGTCCAGCATTTCTTTACAGAATCCAATATTTTCTGCCTAGCTTCATAGGCTGTATACTAGCCTAGAGTCACAGATGCGCCTCAGAGCATGCTATGTATGTAGTCCCTGTGCTTGAAACCAGGCTAATGTTTCAAAAATACATCTGAATGCCAGCAGTTCATGAAGCCACAGTCACAGTAGCTTAGTATAAACCAAATAATTCTTTGGATCCAACCCTGAAGTCCCTACTCCGGGCCAAATCACCTGCTCCTTTGTATTGAAAAACAAACAAAACAAAAACAGAACCCTCCCTCCTCCGAAGAGAGCTAGCAGAGAGAGAACTTGTACAAGGTTTCTCTTGCAGGTTTTCCAGCAGATCATTCCATCACAAAGTTTGTGGAATGTGCAGCTTGGGGCTGTGTTATCTTTTCAACAGATTCCCTGTTGATTACCATGTGGTGGAAGGGATGATGTGAGCAGTACATCTGACCCTACCTTTACCAGTCTTGCAGATCAGACTCTCCCTTACATTTGGATTCCTGACCCCTATGTCTGTGGGGGATAGTGCTGTGAAGATAGCTAGCACCCCCAGTTCTTCTCATGCACAGAAGACAGTCACATGGAGGATCTGCAGGAAATGAGTGGGGCCTTGGTTTTTATTGACACAAAGTTTCCCTGGAAGTCGGTAGGAGTTCTACCTGAGTAACACCTTTAAGACTGGGCCCTCTATTTGCATTTTAGAAAGCAGGGATATTGCTTTTATTATATAGAAATTGTTTAGACACAGAAAAGATTTACATCCTTCTTTTCCTCCTTCTGCATTTGTTGTATCTAAAGGAAAATCAGAACTGGTGAGATTCATAGAATTACATACCAGTATGTATGAACTGCTCTTATTTTAAAGTAGGAATGGAATAATGCATCTTATTGTCATGTTGTATGTATCTTTAGGTTTGGCTGACCCTAGCAGATCACTATCTTCATAGTATAGCAATTGACTGGGATAAAACTATGCGCTTCACTTTCAATGACAGAAGTAATCCTGATGATGACTCCATGGGCATTCAGATTGTAAAGGTAATTGGCATTTCAGCTGATATGTTTGTGTGCATAAAATATAATTTTTTAAAGATTTCTCCATGGAAAATTAAATAAATGTTTTTTGGGAGGTGTTGAATTTGTTTAATTTTCTGCTACTGCATTCCTAAAATGTACTTCTCCTTGTTACTGTTCCTCTGGGCATTCTTGCCTATTCTTGCATATTAATTGTTGAAATTCAAGAAAATAATTCGTTTCAGTGCTGTTGCTGTTGGTAGAAAATTCTTTTTGCCTGATTTCCACCTCCAGCGTTCTTGTTATTCAGAGAGAAGTAATGGAGAGAGAGGTTAATGAAAGGCACATTTTACTCTTGCTTTGCCAGTGATGCCATCTGCTCAGTTTGTCCCCTCCCAACACTCAGAGTTGGGCCGGGGGAGGAAATCTCCGTGGGGATCTCTTTGTGGAGGTCCTCAGACATAGTCCTATTTGGAGAGGCTCATTTGCTTCTTTCGACATCTTGTAGAAATGGTCACATCACCTGCCCCTAAACCTTGCAGATCTCTAGTCACGTCCATGCAGAAATCCTGGACCTCTACAACTCAGTCCCTTAAAGGTCTCCTGCCTCTGGTCCTGTGCTACCCTGGCAGCAGTTGGGAGGGCTACATGGAAAAGACAATATATCCTGGGGCTGGATAATATTTTTACCGAAAGTCTGTGGAGCTGGTTGGGAGACAGCCCCTCTGGCCCACCCAGTCTCCAGTCCTTCCCCAGTTCATATCTCTGGCTCTGTGAAGAAGCCTGAGGGGAGTGGTGCCAGGGAGGAAGTTGAGTCCTCTCTTCCACTTGGGAGTGTGGGGAGATCTGCGTATGGAGGGGACCCTCTATGCACAGATGTAGAGGGCACAATATGAGCCTGTATTGGAGAGAGATTTTTTGCAAAATACTTGTTTGTTAGCATCTACTAGCAGAGAGACAACCAGCTGTTATAGGGTAATTCATCTTTTCCTTCAGTATATTGTATTTGTCTACATTCTCTCAATTGTCCACTGTACTGTCGGTCATGTAAAGTTTGTAGCCCAGAGTTGTTTTAGTTGTGTTTCTAAAGAAACTTTCTAGACCTCCTAGAGATGATGTAATGTTCTGATATGTAAAATGATGTTTGTTTGCTCGCTTGTGGATCATACTTGCTGAATTAATAATGGTCTAGCAAATTTCTAATTAAGGTTTTGGTGGACCTTGTATAACATAAAGAAATTATTTGCTGGTATCCACCCGTGCTGTGATGTAATAAGTAGACCGTGTTGTCACGTAGACTACAGTAGTGAAATATCCTTCACTCTGTATGTGTTTCAGTTGTTGTGTCATTTCTTTTTAAAATAAGAGCCAGTTTTGGGAAGAGAACATCATAGTTCAAATTATGGTTTACATAGCTCTAGTGTCTTGCAGCTTAGTCTGTTTTACATGAAAATAATATCTTCTAAATTCCATCTTTGCTTTAGCACCAGTATACCTAAGTGATGATGCTTACATTTCTGAATATTTGTTTGAAAAACACTACCCAGACTTGGTAACTCTAAATTATAGATATTGCCTGTACAGTGCCTTATTAAAAATTAAAAGTGCTGTACATGTTTGTGCCTTTCACTCACAAATGAGTTACAACCTCCAGAACAATGTATTTTTTGCTGGCATAAAAAATAAGGAGTCTGGCAATATTTTTGCAATTTGATGTAAATGATTCCTATTTTCTCTTTGCATGTCAAAAAGGATGTTGGCTTTATTCATTTGCTAACACAAAGTGCAATTACAAAGAATGCACTGTTAACGTCTAAAGGACTAATGGTTTGCTCAAGCACAGTGTTAAAAAGAGTCTTTAGAAAATAGTATGTATAACAGCATAAAATTTATATTCAGCTCTAGAACTGAATTTGAAATTGCAGCTGCTAATTTTAATGTTAGTCGCCTACAACCACCCACTCTAGTACCTTGTTCCATACTTTATAGTGGCAACAAATCACGATATTCCATTCACTAAGATTCACATTGTAATTCTTTCTCTATGCAGAGAAGTGTTTGAAAAAAGGAGATATGTAATATTTCCTCTTTTAGGCTTCTGGTTAAGATATGGGTACAACTTTCTTTTAACACTTTTTTCTGGATTTGATAATTTTTCAGAAGTAAACAGCACTTTACAAATGAGAATGTTTTAAAAATAATTTTGCAGCTATTTATGTTTTATCTCTTTAAAGATAGCTTGTAACCTTATTGATATTTCAGGGACAGTCAGATACCGGCATACTTTTGATAATTTATTTATCTAGGACAGTTTCAGATGCACCATCTGGTTTACAGAGTGGTCTTCTTTACACCCAATTTTCCTGCTCTGTTGTTCGGGAACAAGGAGGTCAAGTGAGCTGGTGGCTCAGTTCCTGCTAGAACTCAGGGCTTTCCGGGATTCCAGCCCTTTGCTCAAACTACGTCATTCCTTCAATAAGCTAAACATTTTAAAATAAAAATTAATCTCTTCAAACAGTGGGAACATAAATGTGTACGTGTGTGTGTGTGTGTGTGTGTGTGTGTGTGGCAGGATGGGGGAGACAAGAAGTAAGGGAATGGAATAGAAGAACATCTCAAATATCTTTTCTATTTTAGGATCTTCACCGAACTGGTTGCAGTTCTTACTGTGGCCAGGAGGCAGAGCAGGACCGAGTCGTGTTGAAACGAGTTCTGCTGGCTTATGCTAGATGGAACAAATCAGTTGGATATTGCCAAGGCTTTAATATACTAGCTGCACTCATCTTAGAAGTAATGGAAGGCAATGAAGGGGATGCCCTGAAAGTGAGTAAAACCACATGCTGTGTTTCTAACTCTTGTGATAGTGAGGATTACCTTTAAAAGGTGAACTTAGTGTAACAATGCATAAGTTTGCAGACAGCCTAAATCAGCAGCTCACAGAAAACTGATCCATCTCAATGGGTCATTTTAAATGTCACCCCTGTTAACATCCACTGATGACCATTTTTGCAAAAATACCCAGATAATGGGTAAAATCCTGGCCCCAGTGAAGTCAATGGCAAAATTTCCATTGGCTTCAATGGAGCTAGAATTTCAGCCAATCCGAAACTGCCCCCAAAGCACCAACTGGCCCTTTTCCTAGCAACCCAAGCTTCCGACTTTCCTTGACAACTACCGTGACGAATTTGTGTGTTGTCAGTCCAAAAATCTGCAGCACTTTGAAACCAAGTGTGAGATCATCATGAAGTAAGTAGAATTGAATATCAAAATAATTATCCTGGGTGCTGTTGTACTGAGTGTATTACTCATTTTCATGTTTAATTGTTTAGAACCCTCCCATTTAAATGTAAAGCTGCTGCTGCTATAGTTCCAGAGTGCCACAGTATCCAGAGTCCAAGCCACAGAACTCAGGCCTGCCTTGCTACAGGGTACCAGGACCAAGATTTGCCAGTGTTATGCATGATCTTCCTAAAGTACAGTTTGTCATGTAAATGAGGAGTTTACCATGGGGGTTGAATTGTTAAAGATCATGACTCTGTCAGATACTGAGAGATATTTACCTTGCTCTAGATATTATTATATATATATTTAAGTCTTAGAAACTATGGGCAAAATAACAGCTCTCAGAGTCAAAGTCCAGCACATATAAATTTCTAGATAGATATCTGATATGTTGCTTTTATTATAGAGAGAGAGTTGTAACATTAGGAAAATATAATAGTTCTACTATATATCGTGGAGTAAAATTTGCCTTGTATAATTTTCTCCCCACATAATTGCCTTGTGTGATTGCCTAAATAATTTACAATTATAATCTCTTTTATTTTATGACAACCACATGTTCTCCAGTTTATTAAAGGAGCAGTTCCTAAGACACTTCACTAGTTAAAGTAAGCACATTAATGTTAAATCTCCAGTTCAATACAGATAGAAACTTCTTATAGAATCAGTAAATGAAATTAACCTAACTGAAGTAGAAGTGGATATGGTAGATAAGAGTGCCATAGTTTGTGTGGAAAAAAAACCAGTCACACATGTGATTCATCTAGTTTAAAAAAATACTAAAGAGATTTTATAAAAACAGATTAAACAACAGATTGGCATGGGGAAGAAATTACAGAATTGAACACCAGTGAGAAATATCCCAATTGCTGGAAAATGTACCACAGGATGCTAATAAAGTACATCACTATTTTAAAAAAATCCCACCCCTAGACACTTTTGATGGCAATGAAGTAGGCAGAAGTGAATATTTAAGTCTTATAAAAAGCTTTGTTTTCTTTCTAGCTCTCTATTTCATGTCTGGAGTATTTAAAGCAAAATCCATTATGGAAATAGAACCCATTGCGCATGTGGCTTTGTTAAATATAGTGCTTTACAACTGAAGTAATAAGAAATTAGCAGAACTGCAAGGATATATATTACAGTTCTAATTAAGATTAGATTACTTGTTCCAAAGGCTTGGGAACAGGATAAAGAAATAACGCACAATTTTTTTTCACAAGGGAGAAAAAAATCATAATGCAAACAGAAGAATGATAAATGTACTTTGAGAAATAAGGGACTCTTAATTATATTGCAAAGAAAGAGTAGAGGTTGTTCTGAGAATCATGCAGACAAAAATAATGCATTGCTGCAAAATAAATGTCATGCTTATTTGCATATAACACTTTTTTCTGCTAATTCTATGAAATCCGTAGAAGTGTAAAAATTTCTAATAAATGCTTAAAAAGTCACAGGCAGGGAAGACACAGTCATTCAGTGCAAAAACGTCTTGTATGTAAATTGCAGGGGCAGGTGGTATATCAGTGCTCTAAATACTTGCATATAACAATTTTCATCGAGATGGTAGCAATCATATTTGTCTCATTTTATGATCCTTAAATATTTCACCATAATCAGTTGGTGAATTATTGTCAATATAGTTGCCTTCTTTGTATAATTAAACATATTTGTTGAGCTGTGCATTGTTATATTGCTCAGTTTATTACCTTGTATAAGGACAAGATGAAGTGCAATGTACAATAACACATCACACCAGCTAAAATGCAGGAAGAGCATTCTAAAGAGCAGCATCACATACATTGCCAGTAATTTAGATGCTGACTTGGATAGCAAGTCTTCCATTTGTGACATTTAAACAGCACAGACTTAATGGATTTAAGAATTTCCTAAATAATTCAGAGCATCTCACTAGCACATACAACAACAGAAGTATCAAAAATTGGCTTTGATTAACAGAATATTTCTTTAATTATTGTGTGGTGTGGCTTCTATTAGTCTTTTACATCCTGTTATTTTTTTGAAGTTATCCAGACTCCTCAATTAACAGTGCAAGCTGCTGTTGAAGAGTTGACACTTAGGACCCAATCCTACAGGTGCTCTGCACCTGGAATGTCTACAGATGCTTAAAGCAGGGCCGGCTCTAGGCACCAGCGTTCCAAGCATGTGCTTGGGATGGCACTTCTAAAGGGGCGGCATTCCGGCTCTTTGGGGCGGCACTCCGCCCTTTTTTTTTTTTTTTTTTTTTTTTGCTTGGGGTGGCAAAAAACCTGGAGCCAGCCCTGGCTTAAAATAATGTTGCCTTCTTGAATTAAACATCAGACACCTAAGGCACATTTTGCCAGGGTGTCTAAGCTATAGCTCAGTGGAATAGAACATTTTAGTGCATTTTATATTTTCTAATTGGAGTTTTTGCTATTCTTGGAAGATCATTTGTTCTCTCCTTATCAATCCTAAACGATTGACTGATCTTTTTCTCATTTTCTTACAGATCATGATTTACCTAATCGACAAAGTACTGCCTGATAGCTATTTTGTCAATAACCTTCGTGCATTGTCTGTGGATATGGCTGTTTTCCGAGATCTTTTAAGAATGAAACTTCCTGAACTGTCCCAGTACTTGGATACGCTTCAGAGAGCTGCAAACAGGGAAAGTAGAGGTGGGTTCAACAAAAATGGTGTTGAATTATTTTCACATTTGCCTCATTGAGCATCATTTTTAAAAACACAGTGGTTTAAAGATGTATATACACCTCTACCTCGATATAACGCTGTCCCCGGGAGCCAAAAAATCTTTCCGCATTATAGGTGAAACCGCGTTATATCGAACTTGCTTTGATCCACCGGAGTGCGCAGCCCCGCCCGCCCGGAGCACTGTTTTACCACGTTATATCCGAATTCGTGTTATATCAGGTCGCGTTATATTGGGGTAGAGGTGTATTAAAACTTTGAGAGCAACTACATTTTTTTAAAATTGTGTAAGGATACAGTTGACCTTTTACTAATTGACTAACATAGTTAACATGACAGGAGATTGTTCTTATACTGGTAACCGTATCTTGAACCAACAGCTCTTTCAGGTGAAGCAAATGAGGAGATACTTTAGCCCCATAAGTAGCTGTGGACAGAATTGGGTTGACAGTGCCATAAATTATGTATCTGACAATACTACATCACATAGCATAGTATAGTGGATGTCCTGGAAAGTTCTCTGCCTAATTGCATGGCCTTTGATGTCCTCTTCAGTTTCTTGGTGGAATCTGTATTTGAATTATGTTATTCTTGTGGGAAGACTGATTCATGGCAGTAGATCATGTCTGGTTGCATAGGCGTGCGCACGGGGTGTGCCGGGTGTGCCCAGGCACACCCTAATGCAGGGGTGGGCAAATAGCCACCCTCTCCCGGCGCAGCAAGCTGCGGGGTCTGCGCTTCCGGGCCGGAGCACCCGCCCAAGCTCAGCAAGCCGCTGGCCCCTCCCCTGGAGCCATGCTGCTGTGCGCGCAGCGCTCCGGGGGCCGGGGCTGCGCGCTCCTGCGGGGCAGCGTTTGGCTCCGCGGGGAGGCAGACACGCTCCCCCCTCCCCTGGAGCCATGCCGCCGCGCGCGCAGTGCTCTGGGGGCCGGGGCTCCGCGGGGAGGCAGACACGCTCCCCTCTCCCCTGGAGCCATGCCGCCATGCGCGCAGCGGTCTGGGGGCCGGGGCTGTGCGCTCCCACGGGGCAGTGTTTGGCTCCACAGGGAGGCTAGGAACCTCATCTCATCATGGTAAGGGGTCTGGGGCCAGGGGGGTTGGATAAGGGGTGGGGGCAGTCAGGGGACAGGGAGCAGGGTGGGTTGGATAGGGGGTGGGATCCCGGGTGGGTGGTTGGGGTGGGGGGGGTCTCTGGAGGGGGCAGTCAGGGAGCAGGGGGGGTTGGATGGAGCATGGGAGTCCCGGGTTCTGTCAGGGGGCGGGGGGTGGATAGGGGTCAGGGCAGTCAGGGGACAGGGAGCAAGGAGGGTCCTGGGGGGGCAGTTAGGGTGGGGGGGTCTCTGGAGGGCTGGTCAGGGGACAAGGAGCTGGGGGGGTTGGATGAGTCGGGAGTTCTGGGGGGGCCTGTCAGGAGGCAGGGGTGGGGAGAGGGGTTGGGGCAGGCAGGGAGCGGGGGGGTTGTATGGGTTGGGAGTTCTGGGGATCCTGTCAGGGGGTGGGGAGCGGTTGGATAGGCGTGGGAGTCCTGGGGGTCTGTCTGGGGGCGGGGGTGTGGATAAGGGTCGGGGCAGTCAGGGAACAGGTAGGGGGTAGGGTCCTAGGGGGGCAGTCAGGGGGCAAGGAGCAGAGGGGGTTGGGGGTTCTGAGGGGGGAAGTCAGGGGGCGGGAAGTAGGAGGGAGTGGATGGGGGCAGAGTGGGGGTGGGGCTAGGGCAGGGGCGCGGCTAGGGCGGGGCTCCCTGGGTGCACACCCTAATGAAATGGGCTGCGCACGCCTATGTCTGGTTGTTATTTTTCTGGTTAGATGCCTAGTGACGCAGGGTGTAAAATGTCCTTGAATCTGAGAGCTGATCTTTGTTGTCTGAAAATGGCTCTGCACCCTGAGCTCTGAGACATAACACTCCTCAGAACGTTCTTTCCTTAACAAGATATAGTTTTTTGTTATTCTACAATTGAATGCCCCTTGAGTTCCAAACCTGAACATTACGAAGACCCCTGTCTTCTAGGAGATAGTCTTGTGAATGCCTGCCTGAATAGTATAAAAACAGATAAACAAAAAGCCTTTAATTCATGTTTGCTGGCTTGGTGATCAAGTAATTTTGGAGGGTGATGGGGAGCATTGCTGACCTTCTATGAATCAATCCACACTACCAAAATTCATGAAACATGCTCCAAGCACCAGAAAGTGAAACTTCAGAATTCTAAACTGAAGGATTAAATCTTTTATGAAAGTGCTAACAAACCAAAAGGAAAACCAAATACATTACAGCTGTGTCTGCTGAGTCAGGACACTAGGATTTTAATACAATAGACAGGACTTAAAAGAATGATTCCCCATCGGGCAAGTAGGAGAATTTTTTTTGGACAATTGTCATCAACTTCTGCAGAATTTGAGTTTTATTTTTAAAAAAATTTAGCTGTTGTGATTGTAGGGTACAATAAAAACCCTCCTTCCAAATATGAAATGGGTATTAACTAAGTGGTGCTACCTTCTGGGATCTACAGACATCACCAGCACCTCTGCTGCTGCTCAGGCCATGTCTACACTACCACTTACGTCAGCAAAACGTATGTTGCTCAGGGGTGTGGAAAAACATAGCTACCACTGCTCGTTGGAGGTGGTTTAATTATGTCAACGGGAGAACTCTCTCCTGTCAGCATAGAGTGGCCACATGGGAGATCTTACAGCGACACAACTGCATCGGTACAGCTGTGCCACTGTAAGGACTCTAGTGTAGGCATAGTCTCAGTTTTCCTACACTGCAGCAGAGTGATTCGACATGTTACTTTTCACTGCTGTTATTCAGAACCCTGTAGACAGCTGCAGACTGGGAAAGCTTTGAGCAGCAGCAGAGGCCCTGGAACTATTGGCAGCCTTCAGAATGCAGCACTGCACCAGTTCGCACAACATTATAAAGTAACTTCGGGGAATAATGAATTGTGAATGACTTACTATCTTAATTTTTCCATTTTAGGAGGCTATGAACCCCCACTTACCAATGTCTTCACAATGCAGTGGTTCCTGACCCTCTTTGCTACATGCCTTCCTAATCATACAGTTTTAAAGATCTGGGATTCAGTATTCTTTGAAGGTTCTGAAGTTATACTGAGAGTAGCACTGGCTATCTGGGCAAAGTTAGGCGAGTAAGTGACTTTTTTTTCTTTTTGTGCAATGCATGCAACATATATGGTTTTAATACGTGTTATTTTTCTGAAGTGAAAATTCCAGATAAAACAAGACATGGCCTTGCAGGAAACTATTACTTTTAAAATAGATGTACAAGGTTGCAATATAGCATTCTATAAAATGTACTCTAGGGAACCGTCTGGCAATGGCAGAAAGAAGGGTGGGATGACTTATTGGTCTTCACCCTATCAAATTTCTATATTTAATTACATAGCATATATAATATATGTTTAAATGTTGGGTCTGATTCTGTAAGCCCACTGCACACACAATTCTAGGTGAAATCAATGGGAGTTCTGTGCATAGAGGCTCCTTGTCTGTACTAGATGAAAGGCACATTAGATTCACAGGCCGTAGGACTTCTCTGAATTAATTCTTGTTTATTTAGAGCATATCTTTTAGAAAAAAACATTCAATCTTGATTTTAAAGTTGCCAGTGATGGAGAATCCACCACAATTCTTGGTAAATTGTTCCAGTGGTTAATTACCCTCACTGTTAAAATTTGTGCTTCTTTTCAGGAAGAAACATATGTTGCTAAAGTGTAGTTACAGTAGTGCTCAGCTCATTACAAGCCTCAATCTGTTCCTCTATACAGTGCATTGCCTGGTGAATGGGTGTTAACCAACAAGTTTTCTAGAAACTATTTGTGGAAGCAATTGCTTTAAAGAACATTTTTAACCAAGATTTTATTAGGGGTAATGTATAGGTGCTAAGAAATCTGCAACATGCAAGCTGTCTCATTTTGTAAGGGAACAATAATGAATATAAATCTAGGTGTTTTTTTTAAAAAAGGATACTTGGAATGGAATGATTTTTCTGAACTACTACTTTCGTCACTGCAAATATTTACATTCCAAACAGAGGGCCAAATCCCTTTGGCGTTAATAAGAGTTTTGTCACTGACTTCATTGGGAAATGTGAGCAGGAGCAGGCCGAGTATCTACTAGTGTCAGCTGGAAAAGTCTGTTGGATTCAGCAGCTGCATCCAATCTTTTTCTCTCATACCCAGCAACGCCTACTTTCCTGGCAACAAACCTTTTCCTTTAATTTAAAATTAAAATATTAAAGATATGCAGCAGTATCCCAAGAGGTCTTCTAAATTTGCAAAATAAATTACCACTTAAAACTTCAGCACCACAGGCAAGTGCTTTTACATTATATTTGGTTTTGTATCTTGCATGTTTAATCTGAAAAATAATTACTTTTTTTTTTTTGTAACTGGCAAATGGTGAATAATTAGCTAAGAACTGTTCTTACTCAGGCTTTATTCATGAATTGAGCTGTTTACATGCAGAATAAACTAGACATAGCATTATTATTATTTTGTATTATGTTATCTACAGACAATGGGCCCAGTCCCACAGGACCTCTGTGCACAGACTTCCCACTTCACCTGGAATTCTAGAGGCCTCAGTCAGGATCAGAGCCCAATCTTGCTAGGTATTATACAAACATAGAATAAATTAAGTTCTCTGATGTGAAGAGTTTACCATACAATCTAAATAAGACAAGACTTACAAAGTGGAAATAACAAACAATTGGAAGGAATGGCAGCAGGCGGTTGAGGGAAACATTAATAAGAACATGTTTTACAAAGGCCAAATAAATAAGATAAACACCAGAAATCATACAGGGCATCTTTATAGCCATTGTTAGCTGGCATCCTGGTGGAAGTAGGTTGTGATGAGGGACTTTGAGAAGAGGGTAGGACTTATGGGCTAGTTTGGGCAGGGTGTTCCAAACGTAAGGGGCAGCATGGAACAAAGCTCAACAGTACTTGCGGGAGAAACAGTCAAATAGGCAAGAGATGCTGGCTAAATAGGAGTAGAAAGGATTGGAAGGATAAGATACTAATACGCAAGGAGGAGCTATATTGTGAAAGGCCTTAAAGGTAAGGACCAGAAGCTCGTATTTGATGTACTGGAGGAGGAGCCAATGAAAGACTCAAAGACAGAAGTGACATAGTCAGAATGATGGACAAAGAAAATGATATTAACAGCAACATTTTGAATGGACATAAGGAAAATGAAGTGGGTGTCATGAAGGCCCAAAGAGGGGAGTATGCAGTAGTTGAGACAGGAGATGAGGAGGACTTGGATGAGTTCTCTTTGGGTAGACAAAGAGATGGAGGAACAAACAGTAAGATTTTGGCCTGGCCTGGACATTAAGTTACAGTTGCCAGCCAGGACGAGATGTCAGAGTGGTAGGCTGCAATGCAGGACTGAAAGGCAGATTTGAGAGTCATCAGCACAGATGTGGTAGTTGAAGCTGTTTGAGAAAATGAAGTCACCCAGAGAAGAGGCATGAGGGAGAAGAGGAGTGGGCTAAGGACGGAATTCTGTGGGACTTCCACAGAAATAGATACCGAAGTGACCAGAGATGTAAAAGGAGAAGCAGGAAAGGACAGAGTCACAGAAGCCAAATGACCAGATTTCAAGAAGGGGATTCTGACCATCCATGTCAAAGGCAGCCAAGAGGTGAAAGAGGGTGAGGTTCTGAGATTTGGCTGAGGAGAGATTGTTAGTGATTTTTATTTCAGTAGCATGTAGAGAGAGAGGAAATTAGATTGTAATAGATCAGGGTTGGAGCTGGTGGAAGAGGAACTTGAGGCAACGATTGTAGATGTGTCACATTCAGTGAATCTAGAGGTGAAGGGGAGAAAAGAGATGGGGTGTTAGTTGGAGAAGGAGGTGCTTTTACTTAGGATGGGGGAGACCATAACACATTTGTGTTCAGAGGGAAAGGAACCTAATGAGAGTGAGAGGTTAAGGAGAAAGGGGTGGTATGGAGAGTGGGCAAAAGGAATATCATGAGGCAGGAGGAGATGGGTTGACTGGAGCAGGTGAAGGGTTAGAGGAGGAAGGGAGGCAAGAAACTTCAGTGTCACTGATAAGGGAGGAGGATAAAACACATGCAGTTTTCCTTGGAAGAAGAGAACATATTTTTTCCCCTTCACATGAGGTAGGTGTTATCTGGAAGGCAATTTTTAATAGATTACCACTCTCAGTAACGGTATACTATCGTCACAATTCTATTTATGGTCTTATCTTTGACAGTTTTAGCCCACCTCTGCAATCTAGTTTCAAATGATCTTTCACAAATGAATTTCTTTTGAAATAATGCAGAGACTCATGATGTTCTGCTTTTGTCTAAAATGAATTCATTTGTAAATGCGTAGGACTGCTGCCCTAAGCTCTGTCATGGATTGCAGACATTGGTGCTTCTCATGAGAAGTATAATTATATATTTAACTCATAGTTGTAGTTATTATAGTAAGAATTGGTCAGTTCTCACAACAACCCTGTAAGGTAGGCAGGGGATGTCTTATCCCCACTTTATAGATTGAGAAACTGAAATAAGTGAAATGACTTTTTCCCAAGAGCACAGGCAGGTTTCCAATCTTGTATTTAATTCCTTAGACTATAACTGTCTCTCTCCTTTCTCTTTGAGAATTTTTCAATCTCTAGTAGTAGTAGTAACAACAAAAGAAATGTCTGGAAATAAAAGTGGAGTAATGTCAGCCTTTTGCATTCAAGTCTTCAGTAGCTCATGGAGGTGCTGTTTTGGAGGAAATAGAGCACTGCTTTTCTGGCCTCTGATCTTGTACATACATAGACTGACGTCAGATATAAACTGTCAGAATCAAGTATCTGGAAACCGAAGTAGCTGTTAAGCCTTGCTGTAATATCACATGCATGTAATGAACGTGTACTTATGAACACTGTATGAAACACTTACTGTCTTTATTGTTTTGCACTGATCGGCCTTCATTTCAGCTAACATGTCCTGACATTTCAGTTAGAAGTAGCAGCTCCAGATTCCTATGACAACTCCTAAACTTAGACACCCACAGTAGGTGACTCAGGTTTTCTTTCTATACTCATTCTCCTTTATAGGAGGCAGGCTATAATGTTTTCAGTGGCTGCTGGAAGTCACAGATGATCTGGAAAGATTAATTTGTTGTAATTCCAGGAATACCACTCCATAATTGATTTCTTCCTCCCTGCTCAACAATGTAGAGAGAAAAATTGTGAAGGTCAAGGCAGTAAAGATTCTCCTTCATATCAGAAGCAGCTCTACATACAACTCCTATGTAAACAAATAAGAAGACACCTGGAGTTCTTTGCTGAGCCAGGAGGCAGAAAAAGTCTTATTGTTGTTAGAGATCAAAAGGAGTCATTCAAAGCGGGATCTATTGTCAGTGAACTGAATTCCTAGACAGACTGGCTCAGTAGGAAGTCTGTCACTGACCAATTGGAGTTGGATCAGCAGATGTTCAATATCATGTTATCCAGATGGGCACTTTCTCAAATTAGACCCCTTTGCCTCGAGCCACAACATGCAACTTCTGTTCTGCTTGAAAGTGTGGCTACGTTGCACCTCTTGTCAAAATCCCTGGTGCGTGTCAGGACCCTAGAGCTTACTCTCCCCCTGGATCTCCTCGTTGTCCTTGGCCAATTCTCTTCCTCTCAAGGGAGTGACTGAAGAGCTCCTCCTTGCAGCCTCTTCCTGCTCTCACTTCCTGGCTTTATACTCTTATCCCAGCTCTTCCCCCCCCCCCCCCCCCCCCCCACTGGGCTTCATCTGCAATCAGTGCTTATCAAGCTCTGGTTTCCCTCCAGGTGCAGCATATAAGATTAATTGGCCCCTTCTGGCCCACATTAACCCACTCCAAACTTGTGTGGGGTGGACACCCCACCACACTTTTTCTGTCAAGAGTTGCCAGAAAGATACTACTTATTCCATGCTGGCCCAGGAGACCTTGATTCTACCGACCAATGGAAGTCACTTTCTGCAGGGTTGGAAGCCTTCCGTTGGCACAATTCTTCTCAAACAGTACCATCCCTATGCCCCTCAATGTCAATTTTCAAAAATGACTAGTGATTTGGGGTGTCCAATTTGAGACACCTAACAAAGGGCCTGCATTCCAGAAAGCGTTGTGCACCTGCCCTTAGAAAATCAGGCCCTTTCAAGGTGTGTCAAGTTGGGCACCCAAAATCACTGGTCACTTATGAAAATATTCACCTGTAACACTTTCTCTGATGTCATCTTGGTGACTTAAATCCACATATTCATTTTCTTTTCTCTTCATATCTCTGTTAAGTGTATTTCTACCTTTCTTTCCACATAATTTCTTTCACACAGGAAGAATACATCTCCCATTTACACAACAGGTATATAATGTTTGGGAGAGCTGCTGTCTCTGCAGGGACTTACCCTGCTTAAGGTGATTTGCTCCTGACTGCATATACTAAATGAGCCTGAAAATCTGCTCCCTGGAACTTTTAGTTTCTACTTCTGTAATTACAGCAACACTTGGGTCTAGTCACAGGCCTGACTCATCTTCTGCCATTAAAAAATAACGCTTTCTATACAGTACGTGCTGCTGTGCTGACAAAGTGCAATTCTGTGGAACTTTTAAAATTAAAAATGTAATCCTTATAGCCTTCACAACTGTAATGTTCAACAACTTTCCATATAGCATGTGTAGGGCCCTACCAAATTCAGGGCCATGAAAAACACATCACGGACCATGAAATCTGGTTTCCTCCTGTGAAATCTCATCTCTTGTGTGCTTTTACCCTATACTATACAGATTTCACAGGGGAGACGCGTGTTTCTCAAATTGGGGGTCCTGACCCAAAAGGGAGTTGCGGGGGGGGTCATAAAGTTATTTTAGGGGGCCACGGTATTGCCACCCTCACTTCTGCGCTGCCTTAAGAGCTTCGCGGCTGGAGGGTGGCAACTGTTGGCTGGGCGCCCAGCTCTGAAGGAAGCATCCCCCTAGCAGCAGGGCAGAAGTAAGGGTGGCAATACCATACCATGCCACCCTTACTTCTGCATTGCTGCCTTCAGAGCAGGGCGGCCAGAGAGTGGAGGCTGCTGACTGAGGGCCCAGCTCTGCTGGCAGCAGCACAGAAGTAAGGGTGGCGATATCATACCATGGCATCCTTATTTCTGTGCTGCTGCTGCTGGTGGCTCTGCCTTCAGAGATGGGCTCCCTCCCAGCCAGCCGCCGCCGCTTTCCAGCTGCCCAGCTCTGAAGGCAGCACTGCCGCCAGCAGCAGCACAGAAGTAAGGGTAGCAGTACCGCAACTCCCTCTACAATAACCTTGCGACCCCCCCCCCCCCCCCCACTCCTTGTTGGGTCCCGATCCCTACAATTACAACACCATTAAATTTCAGATTTAAATAGCTGAAATCATGAAATTTATGATTTTTAAAATCCCATGACTGTGAAATTCATCAAAATGGACTATGAATTTGATAGGGCCCTAAGAGTGCGTAACACTAGTGACGGGCAGATTACGGCACTGCAGATTTTTCTTTTTCACTCCATACTATCCACAGTGTTCAGACTGAATTTACAAAAATAATCTCCCTACCAAAAATACCCTCTTTCTCTGCTCTGCTACTAGACTCTGGCAGCCATTCCTAGCATATCAAGGGTTTCATGTGTTAATCCATATTTGAATTCCTGACATGCACTAATACAGAGTGAGAGTGGCCTACTCTCTCAGTACAGTGAACTGTGCATACTCATCCCCCTTATCATATAAAACTTCTTGTGATCTGCTAGTTTTTATAATGGTGGCTTTCTTTGCAATAAACCAAAGGGTTTAAGTCAGTAATATAGGGGATATTCTGTATGATTACCCTACAGAGAATACAGTTCACTTTGAAATGTATAATTAGTTTAGATCACAGAAAAATTTCTGTTGTGATACAGGCAGATTGAATGCTGTGAAACTGCAGATGAATTCTACAGTACTATGGGCAAACTAACCCAGGAGATGCTGGAAGACAACCTGATTGACAGCAATGAACTCATGCAGGTTAGTAAGCAGCGCTTAATGATGTAATTCTTGTTTGTGTATTTGTATATTGTCAACAGTCTTTAGCTTCCTGTGTCTAAAGGATGAGATTTTTGTTAAAATGTTGTTTCAAGAAGAAAAATTAAGATAACACCCTACTGTCAAACTAACTTGTCAGTGGAGCAGATACATAAACATTATCAGCAGTCAAAGCTAAAATACCGCTCAATTATAAGTTAGATGTAGAAAACAGCTAGACCTCATTTGACAAGGAGGTGCCAGTCAATTGCTTTCTGCAATGTCAACAATTAAATATTTGTGCGTTACACTCAATGGGTTTATCTAAATTGTGAGCTATATAATGCTCTGTATTTTATTTCTAATTTTTCTGTCTTACATTATATTCATTACAATGTAATCTTTGTATTCAGTAGACTTTGTGGGTGGCTGACTAGCTCAACTGAAAAAAAAATCCCTCTGTTTAAAAAAAATAAAAAATAAAATCCATTGAACTGTTAGTTGTGAATTACACCTCTACCCCGATATAACGCGACCCGATATAACATGAATTCGGATATAACGTGGTAAAGCAGCGCTCTGGGGGGGCGGGGCTGCACGCTCCGGTGGAGCAAAGCAAGTTTGACATAATGCGGTTTCACCTATAACATGGTAAGATTTTTTGGCTCCCGAGGACAGCGTTATATCGGGGTAGAGGTGTATAAACAAAATGTAGATGATTGCTCTAATTACCTTCTTAAACCCCAAGTCATTGAATAATAAACAGAAACCTAAAGTGTGGTTTTTAAAAAAGGCCTTCAGTATTGCAGATGCAGTTTTACACTTGCAGTTCGAGTACTAAATTGCAGACACATTTTTTCTTACCCCTGCAGTTGCACTCATTTAGAAACCTAAGTACCTATGTGCACTCATAAACTTGGGAGCTAGGGGCTTGATCCTACACTCATTTAACTCAGTGGCAAAGCTCTCATTGACTTTAATGATACTGGATCAGGGCCTCAGTGACTAAATAGGTGCAGTTATGGGACTGAATAATTCAACTGTAGTAGTGGAGGCTGTGTTGAGGCTTAACTTAAAAGTTCTGGTTCTAAATATCTTAAATTAGATTGTCTCAAAATAAGAAGCCTATGGTAAGTTTTTGCACTCATTCGGAGAGTTCTTGTTGACTATACAGTAGAATCATCTTTCAAACTCCAATTTAGTGTTGAAGCAGAGAATCACTGTAACAATATGTAATCTTGGACAATTTACCTTCCTTTTTTCCTTGTGAAAGTGTTAGGGATGGAGGAGGTGAATAATTTGGCTTTAGTGTCCTCTTTAAAAAAAAAAAAAAAAAAAGTGATAATTTACTATCTGAATTGCCCACATATATTTTGAAATAGATTTTACAGATCCTCTCAACATAAGTCAAATACTGACGAGGAAATAATGAATGCCAGTTCAAGCTGTTGCCTTCTCTGTATTCATTATGTCTTAATTCTGGGTTTGATGCACAGTACAAAATCGAGATGTGGCATGTGTCACAAAAATAACGTTGGTGGACCTGAAGTGGGTAAAGTGACTCAGAGCGACAGATTTTTCTTTTCCTTTCTGTTTGTGCATAATAGAAGACAAACCACAGGTAACTGTAGGCTTAAGGGAAAGGAAGGGATGGAATAGTCTTTTAACTGTTGTAATTATTAATGGTACTCTCCCTTTATATTTAACTTACTTAATAATTTCTTCTGATCTCAGCCAAAGTGGTAAACAGTGTGAAGTGTATACTTGTGTAGCTGATAACCATTAGGAGAGGCTAATGTTGTAACCTCTCCCAGCAAGGCTCTGATACTTTTGAAGGGAAAAGTGTAAATAGCACGTTTAATTTTCCCATGACCTCTCTATTAAAGAAAGCACATCTGGTCTTATGTCTTAATGCACTTCTTGAACTAATTTTTCTCTAAACAGAAGAAGAAATGAAAAACAATAGTAAAACAGTGCACTGGCACCTGTGTGGTGCATACCATTGGCATGGGTGCCAAATAATCAGCGTTGAGCCCTCCCAATGGCAGCAGTGAGGAGGAGCAGTGCTGGCTGCCTCACCTCCTGCTCAGGTTTGGCCCCGTGGCCCCTCCATCATGACAGGGGGACCATGGGACCAAAGTTGAGTGAGTGGTGGTGTGACCTGGTACAGGGGGTTGCAGCACCACTCAGCTTTGGTCCCAGGACCCCTCCATCAGGATGGGGTTGGGGTTTACAGTGCCAGAACTGAGTGGCATTGCAACTTGCTCAGTGCTGCTCAGGTTTGGACAGAGGGCTGCAGGGCCAAACCTGAGTGGGCAGTGAAGTGGCCAGCACTGCCCTTCCTTGCTGTTGCTATGAGGCCTGTTCCCGCAACAGGGGCTCTCCCTCTCCCTCTGGGGCCTGCCCAGCTTCACTCCTCTTCCAGTAGCTAGTGTCTCCTCTGCTCTGCCCACAGAACTCGCTCTGTGACAGCTTCGGGAGGGGTGGTATATGCCCACAAGGGGGAGCCTGCCAGGAGAGAGGTGGTGGGAGTGCTGGGCCATTCTCTGTGGAAAATTTTTTGCAGGCATTCCTGAACCAGTGTATTGAAAGAACCAAGTTTGTTAACTAGAATCAGTGTTGCAGATTGTTTTCAGCGTCTTCAGAGGAGTCAGCCAGAAATGTGTTTGGGAGTGATGCTCCTACATTCTTGAAAGGTGTTTTACCAAATTGGAAATATAGTGAACACTTGTCTAACAAATGTTGAGGGTTGTTTTTTTGATGGGGGGAGAAGGGAAAGGTTGGGCTACAGTACTGTAATCCGTTTGGTTTTCCCAATCATTTCAATAAGGACAGTTAGTCTCTGCACCTACTATTCCAGTGGCTCTCAACCTTTCCAGACTACTGTACCCCTATCAGGAGTCTGATTTGTCTTGCGTGCCCCCAAGTTTCACCTTAAAAATGACTTGCTTACAAAATCAGACATAAAAATACAAAAGTGTCAGAGCACACTATTACTGAAAAATTGCTTACTTTCTCATTTTTACCATATAATTATAAAATAAATCAATGGTAATATAAATAGCGTACTTAGATTTCAGTGTATAGTATATAGAGCACTATAAACAAGTAATCGTATGAAATTTTAGTTTGTACTGGTTTCACTAGTGCTTTTTATGTAGCCTGTTGTAAAACTAGGCAAATATCTAGATGAGTTGATGTACCCCCTGGAAGACCTCTGTGAACCCTGGTTGAGAATCACTGTACTCTTCCACCTATTTCCATATGCACATATTCTGTGTACACCCAGCCACTCCTTTTAAAAAAACAAAAACCTATTTCTCTTGCATGGAGAATATGCATACACATAGGGCTCAGCAAGTAAGCAAGTTTTTGGAAATTTGACTCTTCAGTGGTGAGGTTTTTGTCTGATGGTGGTAGGAGGAGCTAGACTGGAGGAGCAAACAAGTCCCAAAGTAAACTCCTTTTTCAGATTAAACAATTTAGGAAAGTGAGCATCAGTTCCACAAGTTTTAAATAATAGACAAAATAGCATTTTTAGGACTAGAAGCTAAACAAATACAATATTATTGGTCTGTTAATAAACACCTTAGTTCTGAGGTTCGGCACAAGGCTGCATGCCAAGTATCTGCAACAATTTGTGTTAGCCTGCCAAGTTGTCTTAATACCTTTATAACAACGCTTGCTTCTTGAAAGTAGTGAAATTCATACAAAAGTCTGGGGTATTTTTTAAACATTCTCTTCTGGAAGGAGAAGAGATAATAGAAAAAAGGGAGAGGGAGTGGCGAGTGTGTATCATGGGGCATAAATTAAAATTTTGGAAACTAGGAGCAAATGGAAGAGTTGAGCAGAACTGTTTCACATAAAGGATAACAACCATATGGAATATGTTGCCTGGAAAGGCTACTGACATAAAGAATAGAGATGAATTCCAGACAGATCTAGAGTTCTTTCTTCATGGGGAGGGAATTAAGGGATATAGTGAAAAAGCAGGAAGGTGTGATTGTGATCAAACAAAAATGGGTAGATATGTTGGGCTGGAGATGATTTCCCCCCTCACCCTACAACCACAAAATTTCTTAGTCTATGTCTACACTACTGCGGTAAGTCGACCTAAGTTACGCAACTCCAGCTACGTGAATAACGTAGCTGGAGTTAACGTAGCTTAGGCCAGGTCTACACTACCACGGTAGTTCGACGGCTGGCAATCGAACTTCCGGGTTCGATTTATCACGTCTGGTCTGGACGCGATAAATCGATCCCGGAAGTGCTCGCCGTCGACTGCGGTACTCCAGCTCAGCGAGAGGAGTACCGCGGAGTCGACGGGGGAGCCTGCCTGCCGCGTGTGGACCGCGTCTGAACCGCGGTAAGTTCGAACTAAGGTATGTCGACTTCAGCTACATTATTCACGTAGCTGAAGTTGCGTACCTTTGATCGAATTGGGGTGTTAGTGTAGACCAGGCCTTAGATCGACTTACTGCAGTGTCTATACCGTGCTGGGTCAACAGGAGACACTCTCCCGTCGACTTACCTTACTCTTCTCATTCCGGGTGGTCTATCGGGGTCGACCGGAGAGCACTCTGCCATCAATTTAGCGGGTCTTCACGAGACATGCTAAATCGACTCCTGGTGCATCAATCGCCAGAGCATCGATCCAGTGGTAGTGCAGACATAGCCTTAGTCTGGTAGATTTGAGCAGTATCACTGTTTGGGGCCCAGAGAACATTTCTTTTTCACAGTTGCAGGAAGGTTCTATAGTTTCATCTAATGGGAAAGCTTCACTTCATGCTGTGGGATTTTGGGGGCATTCTTCTGACCTGAGGTGTGTGCACATACCTCAAGGTATAAAAGTTTCTTAATGCCAAAACCTGGTCTACTGCACCACTTGTCCTCTTTTTCTAATCCAGCTATGAATGTTCCAACTCCTGCTTCTAATTGCTTGCATCAGCGCATCTGGACAAACATATTTTTCCTCCTCTGTCAGGAAGGACTTGGCATTGAAT